GTTGGCTGTTTGGCAGTGGGAGACGAGTTGGTTTGTTGACTATTGCATTCACTGCGCTAGACGATAGGATCACATATACATGGCAGCATGTTCTAAGTTATGATAGGCACGGTATTGGTGACTGTGGCGTTTGCATAGATGCGTATGCAGGGGAAGCTTTCATTCCTGTCAACTAGGCTTGTCACTGGAAAGTACGCCGACGCTTTCCGGACGAAGTATCCTGAGTTCAATGAACAGAACAGGCGATAACTGTCCGATATTCTAGTGTTCTAACCACTTGCAGTGCTTTTCAGCTGCTCAGAAAGTGCTATTGTGGGCTTCGGCGTCTCAGGAGGAATCACCACGATTTTCCAGCCTATTTGGAGAGTTATGTTTGCAATCGTGAGGCTTGATGCTATCGTTCCTTGCGTCATAAAGAACCCTTTTGCCAAGCTTGCTTTATTGCCGACACCTTCCGGACGCAGCAATGGAAAGTGCCTCTTGGTAGACATTGGTTGTTTTCCCAGGAGGCTGAGGAGTTTTGGAATGGTTTGGAGCCACTTCTCAGGCAACATATTTTCCGCTATCGCTACTAGGTTGGAGGCCATATGGTTTGGCGTCACATCATCACATCTCAGGCAACATATTCTCCATTGCTCCACCAGTTCCGGATGACATTCCCAACGCTCTTGAGTTGAATGCTTCTTGGTGAGAGCAGAGGTTGCTGAGGTTGTGGCATTCACAGGATCCAGCTGATGAACTGAAGCTAGGAGATGGCCTTTTCAATATCTAGTAACTCAAATAATTTTTATATGCTTGGTGCGAAGCTACTCTTGCGACAATCAATGACTCTTCATGTTTAACACTATGCCCTCGAATTACTCCGTAAAATACTGCCAAATGTAGCAGTGTTCCTTGCTTTGGGCCACAACCAAAAAGGACATCACATCCGAAGTCCCTGGTCTTTTGCTAAGAAGTCAATAAGGCCATCTGTGTTCTGAGCATCTAAGGTTCAATCATGGCAAAAACACACCAAAGATGTTTGCAATGAACCTATCCTGGTGAATGACAGCAATGTGCGCAGCTTAAGGGCTGGAGATATTTATCATGTGCCAGTCCAGGCCAAACCTCATTGCAACAACCAAGTCAAGTGTATGAAGTACGATTTTCTTCGTGGTCAAACTTTGCAGCCTGGGTGTGCAACCAGAAACTGTATCACCAACATTAATGTGGCAGCTCTGCTTATTGAGGTCAAAAAGCTGATTCCTGATCTTCCTCAAGAATATTTCCGTCTTCCAGGACCACAGGAGAAGCTTACGGCTAGAAGGTCTAAATTTCATGAGTTTGGGCATGGCATGAAATCAAGATTTGTTTATAAGAGATTGGTTTGAGCTGAAGAAGTGAGGAGAAGTTGGACTTTATCCGTCATGGAACTTTGTTTGCACGGCAAGAAGCCTCTTGCATATTGGAGTGCTTGCACTGTTACTGAGCCAAGGATTGATCTATCATCAAGGAGGCCAAGTTTAGCTATGATCGGTGGTGTTCCTTTCGGGTTGTGGTTTTCATGTCTAGAGTCTATATAGATATATTGAGGCATCCCCATGCACGGTGCTGTCCATGAAGCCACACAATGGGGAGAACGAGCAACCATTGACAGATTCAAGATTTCTTCGTAGTCTGTGTTTATGTAAATTGTGCGTTGAGTGTGTGTCCGATTGATTCTCTTTCTGGACAAAGAGCTGGTTTGCGCAAAGTACAGTAGTTTACCGAAGACTTGCTTGCAGGAATGGTTCTTCAGTGGGATGTAGTTTTCCTCAGGGACATGAGCAGAGTCATCAAGCAGATCTCAAAGCATGTCATTTGGTTGCACAAGATTTGCACATGTTGTGGACCTCGGAGATGGCCGTTGTGATTGGTCTTTTGCGCATGCAAGGACTTGGTATCGCTCCTCAATTGAATTAAACAAGCAGCAAGCATGTCAGGCAAGTTAGCATAATCCTTACTCAAGGTCAGCTGAACGGAAACAGGGCGAGCGAACCAGCTGTGGAGACGACTGGCAAGTACTTTTTACAGCAGGCAGGTGGAACCGGGAAGAGGCATAATAAGATATGTTTCGAGGTCCGACATTCACCGCTATACTTGTTATATCTGCGCAGGCAAGCAGGGAAGCCGATTTCATGGAGCAGTTTGGCAGGCAGCAAAAGATGCTGTGTCCTGGCGGGTGCCAAAAAGGTGCTGTCTTGTGTATTGTGTACTTCGGACTAAAGAAAGTGCTTTCTTTGTTCTTTCAATATGTGCAGACATTGTCGTAATGAAAGCGATTGAAAGCGTTCCTGTTTTGTCTTATGGTTTGTGTTCCTGTTGTGTGCGATCGTTCCAGGACTTTGAAGGCTCTTAATTAAAGCAAGTCCAAAGACTAAAGACAAACATAGCCTGTCTTAGAGGAGGAGCGTCTAAAATCAGAGATTCAAGAATGGAGGGTCCTTTAAAGGGCCGTTACCTTCACGTTTGTTTTGCATGTCTGTTTTTTTGACCCTTCTTGAAGACTCCCGCGCACTGGAGGCATACCTAAGGACCTAGGCAGCAGGCATAAGACATAAGATCTTGTCGCCACTGCTAAGGTGTCAAGCCACTGCCCACTGTCCGATAAGGACCGAGCGGATGTCATCAATTCATCAACACTTCTGCCCGCATCGTGCTGAGCTCGGGCAGATTGGGCGCTCAACTGGCCAGGACAAGGAGAAGCTTTGCTGCTTCGATGGCCAACATCAGTGCCACATTCCGGGAGGTTCCTTGGGATCTCTTTCCATACAGATCAAGAAGGAGCCAGATGCTTGACAGTCCTATGAATGCCGAGCAAAACTCGTGCGATGTTCTCTTCATGTGCTGAAATGTCAATGTAGGAGTACGAGGGTGATGATCAGGCCAGAAAGTGTTTTTGTGTTCAACACGTTGAAGAACCCCTTGATTCTTTCGTCAATACTCCAAATATTCTTGAAATGGCTTACCCAGAACGCAATTCTTTAGCATCCAGGAGATGACGTTCCAAGCTTAGATTGCAATACATGTTCATGTTCACTTGCCACAAGTCCTCGCAAGTGCGAGCCACAGGTCATATTGCTACTCAGAGGCGGAATCTTTTCGGCCCGCTTTCTTCCAGCAGATTCTAGATCATACCCCTTCAATGAAGAAGGGTGATGCGCGCTTCAAATCTGAACACCGGAGTCACCTGGCAGCTTGTTGCAGTTTGCTGCAAGATGAATTAATTAAGCACATGTTGAAACATGTGCGCCAGTTTGTGACCCTGGAGAGCTGTTTCACCTTGATCGCATCAGCCCCCTTCCTTTTGTCAATTTATTTGCAATGCCCTTCTTTCAGAGATGAACAGCTGGGGAATCTCCAACGAAACGGGTCCTTTGTCAATCAAACTCAACACTTGGCCTTCTCAAACAACAAGCTAAGGAAGCCTTTTAGCCACTCGACAGCCAGAGCTTATAAGAATTGATATAGAGGCTTGGACAATGCGAGGGTTTCTGCCATTCGTGCAGCTGAGGAAGCACTTGCCCTCTTTATTCCGATTTCTATGGCCGAAGATTTGAGCTGTCGCGATTTGTTCAACAATGAAAAGGCCCATACTGTCCAGCGGTGACTCAAACTGCCGTTTTAATCCTTTTTACTTGGCAGGTCATTGGTGCTGTCTACTCGGCCAGCTTTGCTGTTGACAGTTCCGAGGACCTACATAGCGTTTAAAAGCTGCAGCCTGAGCCTGTTCTTTTTTTGCGACTTTGTCATGTATTTTGTTGCAGGATGTGTTGCCATGCAAACGACGCGTGATGATCAGGCGGATCGGAGCCCTCCGAATCACTCGAGTTGCGTGATGATTTTGTCGCTGATGGCAACTGTTAATTTTTTTGCGTTTTGGTTCAAAAGATACTTCCACCTCCATGGCTGTGCATCGAAAGGAAGTTGGTGGACTCATTGATCCCTCCGCAGGGACCAAGGGAATGCCGCTCGAACTCAGTTGGAGAAGTCTGCGAAGATGCGATTTGAACAAATCCGATTTCTTCAACACTTTGTCAAGAAATAACTTGGAGGATCTTGGAGGTGAAGGCATAGCATAGCTACTCCTTTGTTCCTTTTGTTTGCTTTCGAGGCCACGTGTTTTCACTACAACTGGACCGAGAGCCAGTGGCTGCAAAATTGAACTTGGCATCCTGGCGACGCCACATGCCCACCAGCTGTTCTGACGTGATTATCAATGTCCCAATCTTAGAGACATTGTTTCATGTTTTTTTGTTTTTTGGTTTCACTCGAGCTGTTTCGATTGCGTTCTAATAGAAGCTGCTTAGGATGCGAATGCCCAGAACTTATTTGTTCATTGATCACGTGGTGTTCGTGCAAGACTTCGGTCATAAAGTTTGCAGATGCGTTCAGCTTAGGTCCAGGAGTGGCTGCCTGATGTGCCCCAAGAATATTTCAAGCTTCCTGGTCCTGAGGAAAAGCTCGACTTTATCAGGAGTCGGTGATTGAATTGAAGGAACAGTTTGGCACAGACACCTGCTTTTTGTATGTACTCGCTGAACGGGTTTGTTTTGAAGGCACGGTTTGCTTTATCACCACGGGGGGCTTGTGATGAAGAGAGAAGCTTAGCTGCAGTAAGAAAGCAAGCTGGATCGAGCCTCTTCTCGTATTTCTGCCAAAGCTCTTCGCCGGGTGCTTCTTGTATAGGGCTTTACATTCTTGTTTGTCTTGTTTTGTTCATGTGTTCCTCTCCCTGTTTCTATTTGCACATTTGCTCGAAGCTTTCAACCTGACAGACCAAGACCGCTTCTCGTTTTTGCAATTGTTGCTTTCCTGTTCCTGATGAAACTTTCTATTTTTTCTACTTCAGGCAAGGGAGATTAATCACCAGGAACAAACAGCTTCCAGTTCCAAAAGCGGCGGGGCAGGTCTTGTCACAGGCTGCAGGCCTATACATCGACGTGGTTGACCGAAACAAAAAGCCAGGATTGGTTCATCCTTGGTTCGTGAAGAAACTTAAAGTTTATGGTGTCTATAAAGTGTGTATAAAGTTTAAAGATATTTAGTTATATAATGTTATATATACACATACAAATGCTAGTTTTTGTTTGTTTATTGCTTGTTTGCCTGGCATTTGTGTACTAACCTTTGTTTGGGTTCTACCCTTGAGTTTTTTGCATATAGGCCAAAAACTCAATGGTTTTTTTGTTTTTGTGGTTTTATATAATTTGTGTGTCTGTGTGTGTGCGTGTGTGTTGGTACACTCAACATAAATACTTATATATATATATATATCAGCATGTACAGTATCCATCGGTGTGTGTATCGCAAAATTTGCATATCAGTCGCATGAACAGATATGACCGGTTCGGCAAGTGACTGGACTGCTTTTGATTCAGAATTAGATCTAAGGAGGTCATTCTCACTGAAAGTTTGGAGACATTCATGGAGATTGCAGCTTCTGTTGACATCTTCTCGCTACTCGGAGACACGAAGTGACTACCGTAGATGGACAAGATATTCAAACCATTCAAACCACTTGGACCTCTTCCACCCCAAAACTAAATGTTATCGAGCCCGCTAGAGTGTTTGGACAAAATGGATGAAACAAATCAAGCCCTGGCAACACAATTCAAAGAAGTCGTGCTCAAGATTGAATTTTGAGGGTAAAGGGTTCGAGTCACTTACTGACTCAGAGGTTAAAATGTTTTGTCCATCCACTGTAGGACTTAGGACCGATATTTTTGCTCTTCTTCGCTTTGCTTCAGGTCAGCCGAAGAGGGATCTGGAACAAGATGCCCCTTGGACTCCAGCAACTTGTAATGATGTTTCTCCGATTGTCCTGTACTGAAATTGATTTTTGACTAGGTGGGGGCTCCTTCCAAGCAAATCAAATCCTTGGAGGACGTCAGGCAGATTTGCAGCTTGCAATGTTTCGGCATCATATGTCATAAGTGAAAGCATGCTTGATAAATCTGCAAGTCTTTCCTTTGGTTTATATTTCAGGCTAGCCACTACCATGGAGTTGCTTGGCATGTTGTGAAAGAGGCACTCACAAAGCACTGTCCTTTGGCAGACAGGAACAAGGAGAGATCGCAGGGTGTTTGGGTTCATAGTGCTGTGACTGTGTCAAGCTTGGAAGCTTATGACCGATTTTTGAGTTCCTTTGTTCCTTGCTTTGTTCGATTGCTTTCTCCCTTCAATCTTGAGCGGCTTGCAGTTCTTGCAAGCATACGCCATCGTACGCCTCAGGAGATCATTTGCTGCTTCGATGCAGATGTCTCGTGTCACATACCAGGAGGAAGCTTGGGCGAAGGCATGTTTATCAAAACAAATCTGTTGGATCAGCTTAGCACAAATTGCGACGGTCACCATGATTCAAATTGTGTTTAATGATCAAAATTAAACATGCGCTTTGTGCACGAGGGGAATGGACATGAATGGGAATGCAGTATACAGATAACTCTGATCGGCGCGAGGCATGTCCATCAAAGTGAAGAGGTGGTTCGAGGCGCTATTTTAGCAACACAATGTAAAGACAATGTAGGATGGTTCTTACAAACTGCTAGCTGGAGAAGCAGCTCGATGCCGCTCCTCTAGTTAGGCTGCTGACTTTCCAGTGGAGTCGCATTGCCTTTGGGGACAGCATTCAGTTCGGCCGGCCTACTTCCAATATGTGCTTGATCACAAGCCTAAGCCACTTAGACGCAGGATGACGCTTGACCGCTTATACTCAGGGGCATTGTTGATTGACTTCAAACATATCTTCACTTCGCAGACTCAAAATCCGCTTGTGACGTGCTGTCCTATCTGATTTCCGACAAATTATGTTTCGATCCTGAGTCTGGATGAGTGTGGAAGATAGCTTGTTCCCTTCCCCTTATATACCTCCAAGGCCACAAGTTAGATTCAGACCTTGGTCACATTGTAAGAACTTCAAACTGAGTTCGATTTCAACGAAACAGCTCCCGAGGCTGCATGATGCCATGCAATACTTCACGCACAAACGACAGATGGAACTACTGAACAGGAGCGATTGTGCTTCCATGCACGCGTTTGAAAGGATTTGATGCCCATCCACACTTGTTGCTTCATATATTACTAACGTTTATTAGTCTATTATAACAAATTAAAACTATAACCACAGTTCCAACATTGAGTTCCCCTGAACCTGTCAGCAGTTGACGTATCCTCCACTCATGCAGGACAGCATTCTTTGTCCCTTTTGAGCAAAGAAGCTGTGAAGAGTTCCTCGAGACAGAAACGGCATCTCGATAAAACCGAACTGACTCAGCTGACTCAGAGGTAGCTCAGCTGACTTGTTTCTCAGAGTTGCAAGCCCTGAGGTGGTTGGAGCAGCCCTTTGGCTTGAGCGAAAAACTCCACATTACCATAGAGATCGGAGATCCGAGATCTTAGAGATCCATAGAGCCAGAATATGAATCAGTTTCAATGAGAGTCACAAGTCACAAGTCAAAATACTTATATAAATAGGAATATGCGTTTGGTGCATTAAAAATAGTCACAGTGAGTTTCAACATCACGATGAGGTCTACATGAAGAGCTTCGGTCGAACGTCTTCCTCCGGTTCCCTTGGGTGTCCGATTGGATGATGAGAAAAAGTCCTGCAACCTACGGTTCTCTACGTGGAAGAGACTCAGATGAATCTGACTGAGATGAACACTCGCAGCGTTCTCAATCATGTCTCAACTTTGTTTGCTTCTCGTTCAGTGTTTCTGTTGATTCTGTACGGCCTATCACTATAGACCTTGGCTATTTTGGCTTTTCTCTTGCAGGACGACCAGATGCCTGCAGAACGCTGACGCTGTAGATGATTGGGCTATCCAGTCTCCTGACTTGAACAATGCCAAACAGCTTCAAGGTGGAAGTGACAAAGGCCTCAATGATGACCGCTGAGCTATGCCAAACACGCTGGGCAAAGACATTCATGAGACGACCGCGGCTTTGTCGAGCAAAATCCCCTTGATGTCGCCGCTTTGAGAAAAGAGACGAAAAAGCTGGCATCGGAAAAGCATGCAATACATGGAAACACTCATTTGCGGCCTGGAAGCATCTGCAAGCCATACCTGGCCGACATTCATTTGATGTTGTTTGGCTGTTCAACGTCAGGTGCAAAAGAGACTGAAAGAAGACCTGGCAATAACTCATCGAGATTCGCTGTACGAGGTTTGGGGTGAAGCGCTCTTTCGTAAATAAATGAACAGAATAACCTCAAACGCTAAGAAAGAACATAATAGCAATGTCCTCCTAAGGTCAACTAAGATCACTAAGGTCCAACGTTTTAGCCATGGAGATCACGTTTGCTTCAGGTCTTGGTGCGAAAGGAAGGTCGTGCATTCGCAGCAGATATAAGTGGCGCTGATGCAGTGCGAACGCTCCCTCCTCAAACATGACCCAAGAATGGCAGATGCACATTGATTATATATATATAGAGATTTTAGACATGTTATGGAAGTAAACTGGGTCATGCAATGTGCTATTTTGAGATGTAATTACCCTAGGCTTTAGGCCGGGGTCGCTTCTATGTTTTAAGGTACAATGCTGTTCTGGCAGCAATCGAACTGTTTACTACAAAGCAGCAGAGGCACTTGCAGGCGGCACAGTTGTGCTTCCAGACAAGGTGCTTTCCACGTGCTGTGAGAAATCAGATTCTGCGCTACAATGATGTGGCTTTAGGCAGACAGCTTTTTGCTGCGAAAGATTCATACCCAAGAACAGGACCCGAACTAGCTAATTTTTGTCACATCGGTCCAGTTGGCACATTCAAACCTTGGGAGGAGAGGCACAAAGCAGCTCAGGCTAGCAGTGTCATTTCAGAAGAGCACTCGCCAAAACCATGCTATAGCCGCGCACAGGCCAAGGCAAAAGCTGCAAAAGAGGTCAAGACTGTGAAGAAGTCTAAGGATTGAACTGCAGCCAACGACTCTGCTCTATGAATTGATCAAGTTTTGCAAAGCGAGTAAATACAGGAGGCCCCGTCTGTGTCGGGCTTGGTCAAAACGACGCGCAAGGACTGGGAACACGTGTTCTGTTTGCTTAGACTGTTTGCAATCTTCGTCAATCGAAGTTCCACATTTTTTTTCCAAATCATTTATATAGAGATTGCTATTAGGTTGGAGATCATCGCTCTTAGGTTGGAGGCCATCGCTATTAAATACATTGAAATGGCCGTTTAAAAAAATATATGTATGTATGTATGTATGTATGCATGTATGCATGTATGCATGTATGCATGTATGCATGCATGCATGCATGCATGCATGCATGTATGGATGTATGTATGTATGTATGTATGCATGTATGCATGTATGCATGTATGGATGTATGTATGTATGTATGTATGTATGTATGTATGTATGTATGTATG